GAGGAGGAGGAAGAGGAGGAGGAGGATACAAAAGAATGCCTAGCAGATTACTAAAGCATGTTCCTAGATATGTCTGGGTGGATTGCAAAGAAGTGACTTTAGGAACTATATATACAGTCCTTCACCTCTTCTTCTCTGGCATGGTTTCCCTGCTCTGCTTCTCAGCTGCCATGAACTAAACAGCTTTGCTCCACCATATACTTCTACCATGATGTTCCTGCCTTGGAACTAGCTGACCATGGACTGAATCATCTGTGACCTTGAGCCAAATTAAACCTCTTCTCCTCTAAGCTGTGGATGTTCAGTTTTGTGTCCCAGCAACAGGAAAGCTGGCTAATACAGTACATATGTATGGGAACATCATACTGTAGTCTTAAATATCTACCATTATTGTATCAATTTTTAAAAGATTGTTTTTCTACTATGCAAATATGTGTGCCTTTCTCTGTGTAAGTTATCTAAAACCAAGAAATGTTCCTTGTTCTGATGATTTTCAAGAAAACCTACTGATTTTACAAAAGTTAGCAGCAGGCAATTCAGCATTTTGGAGCAGAGATGACAGCATTCATCTTCAGAGGAACATCTGATATGGGGACATAATTGTTAAAGATATCTTTGGTTTCACAAGAGGAATGCTCCTAGACTTAGCCTGGAAAGGAGAGGTGGTAACGCAGTTTGACATTCTTCCATTAAGTGCCTAGACAGGAAATAGGAACAAGAATTGGATGGGGTTAAGAAGATGGGATGAGAAACTGACTCTACAGATCAGTCCCAGTAAGGGGAGGGACCAGGTCAAAGGTCAAGGCCTGCACATAGGATGACAGCTGCAAACAAGCTGTGGCCAGAAGCCTTCGGTGCTGTGCCCTCTTTTAATTCCATTCAGTGGGACAAGAAATTCCAAAAGCAACAGGAAACAGCTCTCCCTCTGCCCTGTCTTACTCCCCAAAGCAGGCACTGAAAGGAGGGCTCTGGGTTTCCACACTACTGTGTAATCTTCCCCTATTGTCACCATCTGTTCCCATCAAACCACCACCAAAACAATCAACCACGAGTTCAGTCTGAGCCTTGTATTGACACTGCCTGAGAAGTGAAATGAGCATGTGTGTAGTGTAGGGGAAGCAGCCTTGAGCACACCACGGCAGCAGGAAGACAGGGCGGGGTTGCAGGTGACAAAGGTGACCAGGAAGCCAGGGGCACTATTTGGGGACAACAGGAAACAAGTGACACATAAGTATCTGCTCCCCTTACTCTGAGGGTACCCTCAGAAATGCAAGGGGTAATCAAAAAGTAAGGTAAATGACTGCATTTAAAAATATTTTGTTTTGTCTTTTTGTCTTTTTGAGACAGGGTCTCACTATGCAGTTCAGGCTGGCCTTGAGCTCACTTTGTAGGCTGGTCTTGAACTTGCAGTGATCCTCCTGCCTCAACCTCCCAAGTGCTGGGATTACAGGCACGCACCACCACGCCTGGTTTGCATTTTAAAATTTTATTATAGTAAAAGACACATTGTCATGAATCCCCCCCAAAATGCTTCCCCTCACTTCAAACACATTTATCCCATCATTCTTGCCCCTTTCTGAAGCAACTTTGGAGGTCCTTCTTCCTGAGTGTCTTTAAAAGATTGATCAAAAATAAGAAAAATGTTGTTGCCAAGTGCCATCCTAAGGAAAGGCAGACTCATAAAAACACAACACTGTGTCCTCATCACCGTATTCACCAGTTCTGGCACCAGGTGACTTCTGCCTCTTCCCCAAAGTGAAAATGACCATAAAAGGGATACATTTTGAATTGATCCAGGACATCGGGTCAGCCACAACAGCTCAATTAAAGACAGGAAAGAGGCCTCCAGAGCTGCTGCAGAAAGTGGGGAGAACAATGGGGTAAATGCGTTTAAAGCAAGCGGGCAGATTCTGAGGGAGATTCGTGGTAAGGTCTTTCACTGTACAAGAAAGTTTTAATATAAATACGTATCATAGTTTTAAATCACACCTGATATGAAGGCTGCTGGCCCACTGTCAATACAAAATGGAGGCTCAAGTTCCTAAATTTGTATTTTAAAGGAGAATATAAGGGATTCTGGGGGGACACTCTGCACTGGTGTGACTCTTAGGGCTTGTAATCAGTGGTTACCAGGGAACAGAGACCAAGCTCTACCACGTAGTAACCAAAGGGCAAGGCAAGCTTCCAGGAGCAGCTAAGGAAAACAGTGATTGACTACATGCATTAACTTGGCTAACTTCAACATCAAGACTTCAATGGGGTATCCACTCTTACTCGGGGGAGCCAGATGGACCACACAGTCATCTTCCACATAGATGGCCCAGTGCTCATAGCCAACTCGGAAAATCTCAATCAGGTCTCCAGGTCTGGGTCTTGATTTGCCCTATGATGGGGAAAAAAATATAAACTGCACCTGCCCAAGGACTCCAGAGAGTCTTTGGGGATCAGCTGTGAGTACCCTGACTTTGCAGAAAGAACCTCAAGCTGGAGAGAGGATTGTTACTTGTCTCTTTTCAAGATTTTCTCAGATATAATATACAATCCCATAAAATTTTAAGTGTACAATTCGATGACTTTTAGTAATTTACAGAGTTTTTACAATGTCGCTATGATCCAACTTTAGAACAGGACCACTGTCGCAAGTAGATTCCATGCCCATTGCAATCATTCTACTTCCCACCCTCAGCCTCAGCCAACCTCGGACCCATGGGCAGCCACGTCCCTTCACCACTCAGCCTCTGCAGCCTCCCACCCCGACAAGCTCACCTGCTTTCTGTCTCAGTGGATTGCCCCTCTGGACACTTCACATGCACAGATCATGCCACATTGGCCTGTGCCCTGGTCTACTTGGTGTGTCTTGGCAGGGTGGCATGATGTGTGCCCTATGTTCTGGCCTCTCTGCTTGGCATACCCTGTCTCCATTGTATTGCAGCAGGCACCACACCCCATCATGCGGATATGCCCCAAATGGCTTAAACCTTTTGTTCTTTTTCAATATGCTTGGCTCTTCTGGGTCCTCTGTATTTCTATATAAATTTTAGGACCACCTTGTCAATTTATACTGAAACACACACACACACACACACACACACACACACACACTTACTGATCTTTCAAGAGGAACTACATTTAAATGATTACTTTGCTGAAGATTGCCACTTTCATATTATAGAGTTTTCCAATCCACAAACATGGACTCTTTTTCTTTAAAATTAATTTTACTGGGGACTTCTGGGAAGATGGCGGAGTGGTGAGCAGAAGAGAAAGAGCCCCTCCAAGACTTGGTGTCCAAACACTGGGATATAGCAACATGAGGAAGAGAAGAATGAGGAAAGTGGGTCCCCGGGACCCAGCAAGGATCTGAAGAAGAGTTAAAGGCTACAGGGAGAACAAAGAGAGAGATTTCAACGAAGAAGAAGGAGATGGCAGGTGACACTTTGTCCCTGAACCCTGACTCACTTCATGGGAGAGGCAGCTCAAACCTACAGTCACATGGTGACTACTGGCAACCTGAGGCCTCCACAGAGGAACGCATCCGTAGAATGGAGCAGTGGACACAGCAGACCACAGTGGCTGGTGAGCTACTCAGGTTCAGATGCCCCCCAGGAGAAGGCAATTTGCCAGTAGCCATCTTAGAGAGGGGCCAACTGACCTCAGAACTCAGAACAGCTGCAGGCCATCTGGCAGCTCTCAGTGTCAGGGTGGGGCTGCTGAGTTCAAACCAGCAGGAGGTACACAGAGGGTAACAGGCTGAACAAATTGGGTTCCAACCTCACAGCCAGAAACCAGCCTGAACTTCAGTGGAACTAAAAGTTCCAGTGGGATCATCCACTACCTCGCCATAAAGCTGCCACTGGCCTGCAGGGATTAATCGGCTCAGAGCTGGACTTTGTCTGCTCATGCTGTCTACCAGTGACAGCAGAAACACACCTTAAAGTGGACATTTTTTTCTATTTTCTTTTCCTTTATTTTTCTTGTTTTTGTTTTCATTTTGTGCTGTTTTTTCTTGTTTATTCTTTTTACATGAGTGTGAACGTTCTTTCCAATTTTGTTACTGTTGTTCTGTTCTGCTCTTGTTTTATTTCTTCCTTATCTGTTTCCCTCCTGTCTTCTTCACCAGTGTCCCAAAGTCCCTGTAATCATCCTTCATCCTCTGGACTTACTTCTCAGTTCCTTCTTTTCCTCTATTTCTCTAATTTTCTCCCAACCCATTTTAAATTTTCTCCCCTGAGAATAAAATTACCATGCTGAGGGCTTATTTATCCTATACAATGCTCTTGTTCCTTTCAGATTTTGTTATATAACCACAAATCTAGTTCATACAGTTAAAGGTGGCAAATTAATATAGTTACCACAGGTTGTCATTTTCTAAACTGTGTTTGATGATATTGTTATTGCTGGTGGTACTGCTTTACCTAAGGTGACAGAATTGTTCTGATATATCCATTGCTCTTCTTGGTATACCAAGACAAAGACTGCCTAAGGGTCATAAACAATACTATAGGCCAGTGCCAAAGAACCAGGGGCTGGGCCAAGTAGGCAGCAACTGCTCATCCCCAATAAACAGAAGATGTAAGAGACTCAAAACCCAAAAGCCAGCTACACCTGGAAGACCTCTGAAAAGCAGTCATTTCCTAAGGGTTCTTTTTTTTGGGGTGGATAGCAGTAATTGAACTCAAGACTTGTGCTTACCAAGCAGGTGCTGTATTGCTAAGCTATAACTCCTTCCTAAGCATTCTAAATACTAGCAATAAAGCCATTCACCATGAGTAATTTACAAGCATAAACCTTGGAATTAAGTGAAAAAAACAGAAAATGAGAACACACTTAAGATGTAACCCCAGGGGCTGGGGATTTAGCTCAGCGGCAAAAGC